GCCTGCGGGGTCTCTCCAGCATCCTCAGCCCCACCAGGTCCCTCTGGATGACTTGGATTCTCCCCTGTGCCCTCTGCCCTCTGTGCCACCCTCCTCATCCACATCCCTGAGTGACTGTAGGGTGCCCCCCAGGCACCCATGGGGTGCCCCATCCTGTCCCCAAGCCCGCCAGGTCCCTCTGGGTGCCCCACACCCACCTCCCTCCCTGTTCCCTCCATACCCACAGGATCCCCCAAACACCCACGGGGTGCTCTGTCATCACCTCCCCCCATGCCCCAAACCCCACCAGCACCCCAGGGTGCCTGCAGGGCCCCCCCAGCACCCCCGAGGGTCCTGCAGGACCCCCCAGCACCCCGGGGTGCCCCCCTCTCACCCAGCACCGTGTAGGACTCGGCGGTGAAGCGGTCGCGGCCCCCGCGGCCCAGGGACATCCTTTTGGGCGACTGCACCACCCTGGCACGGACAGAGGGCCGGGTTGGCACCACCCAGGAGGGGACACAGGGCCGGCCAGGGGGGAGGGGGTGGCACTACCTGGCAGGGGAGTTGGCGGGGGACGCCGTCCTGCCCTTGCCGTCCTTCTCGCGCGCCTTCACGTCCTGCACCTTCCCGCCCGTCGCGTCCCACTCCACGCTCAGCTCCTCCACCCGCAGGTTCTGGTGGCACGTGCTGGCGTCCAGCTTGAACGTGAACGCTGGCAACACCCGCTGTGAGTGCCCCCTGACCCCTGGGGGTGGCACAGGGTGGGGGGACACACCTGCCAGCCCACCCCCCATCCCCCCAGTACCCACCTCTGGTCTCCAGCGTGACCGGCTCGGAGAACTCGCCCGCCACGGCCTTGTTGCACGCCCGGACCCGAAAGTTCATGTACTTCATGTCAAACCTCAGCCCTGAGGGCACAGTGGGCTCATAGAGAAGGGCACGGGGCAGGCACTGCCCCCCAGAGACCCCAGCAATGCCCCCCAGCCCCTGGCACAGCCCCACGCCCTCACCAGACAGGGTGTACTCGGTGCCCTTGATGCCCTCGATGACCATCCAGGGCTGGTCCTCCTTGGCCCGGGGGGGCCCCTCGAAGTTGGTCCTGCGATACTCCAGCACGTAGTGGTCGATCTTGCCGCCCTCCTCGGGCATCCTCCACACCAGGCTCACGCAGTTATCGGCCACCAGCGACTCCGCCAGGTCGATCTCGGGCGCGCTGGGCACTGCCCGCGGGAGCAGCCGTGCCAGGCGCCCCTCCCTCACACATGGAGGGGGTCCCAGCACCCCCTCGGGGCTCCCACAGCTCCCACGGGTTCAGCAACCCACAGATCACCAGCATGGGACCTGCAGGACCCCTGGGCACAGCACCTTGGGGACCCCACCCTGGCATTCCAGAGACCCCCAGCACAGCACCCACAGGATCCATGGGCACAGCACCCTGAGGTAGCATCCCACCCAGGGCATCCAGAGACCCCCAGCGTGGCACCTGCTGCATCCCTGGGCACAGCACCCTGGGGACCCCACCTGTAGCACCCCAGAGACCCCCAGAATGGCACCCACTGCACCCCAGGGCCCCAAACCCCCCTCCTCCTTCCATGCCTGGCACCCTCCCACCCCTCTGGGTGAGGTCCCACAGGGCACCCCAAGCCTGGGTCCTCCCCAGCCCAGCTCCTCACCCCCTAAACTCTGCCCCCCCCTCCTTGTGCCGCCCCCCTGCCAGGCTGGCACTTCCCTCCCCTGTGCCCCCTGTGCCCCTGGTACCTGGCAGGAAGGTGAGGGCCTGCAGCAGGCGCCGTTCCTGGGCAAAATCCACCATTAGGTGGCTCATGTTGTCGCTCACCTTGGCCTTGAGCGAGAGGCGGAAGGCGGGGGCCATCGTCACGCTGCGCCAGGGACACGGGCACCGGGCTCAGCGGGGGCAGGCAGGGCACCCACCCAGCCCTCAGTGCTCCCACCGCCCCTGGGGAGGGTGGGGAAGGTGGGCAAGGCCACCCCAGCGCCCACAGGGCCACCCCAGCACCCAGGGGACCACCCTCTGTGTGGGGCTCTGGCTGGGGGGGAAGGGGCATTCAGAGACCCCCAGAATGGCACCCCCATGGGCACAGCACCCCGGGGACCCCACGTGTGGCATTCAGAGACCCCCAGCATGGCCCCCCAGAGGAGGAGGAGGAGGAGGAGGAGGAGGATGAAGAGGTGGAGGGGTTAGTGGGGGGTCCTGGGGGGTCTTGGGGGGTCTCGGGGGGGCCGTACCTATCCTTGATCTGTTTGGCCGCCTTGTGAGCGCAGAGGGCAGAGCAGGAGAGAAGAAGCAGGTGAGAACTGCAGAGCCGGGGAGGGGGGGGCAGCAGCATGCAGGACCCCCGCTGGGCACAGCCCCCCTGCAGCCCAGAGCATCCCACAGCATCCCAGAGCATTCCAGAGCATCCCAGAGCATTCCAGAGCATCCCACAGCATCCCCGTATCCCACAGCATCCCTGCATCCCACAGCATCCCATGGCATCCCAGAGCATCCCTGCATCCCAGAGCATCCCACAGCATTCCAGAGAATCCCACAGCATCCCACAGCATCCCACAGCATTCCAGAGCATCCCACAGCATCCCTGCATCCCACAGCATCCCACAGCATCCCACAGCATCCCTGCATCCCACAGCATCCCAGAGCATCCCTGCATCCCAGAGCATCCCAGAGCATCCCACAGCATCCCAGAGCATCCCACAGCATCCCCATGTCCCACAGCATTCCAGAGCATCCCACAGCATCCCACGGCATCCCAGAGCATTCCAGAGCATCCCACAGCATCCCACAGGATCCCTGCATCCCAGAGCATCCCTGCATCCCAGAGCATCCCACAGCATCCCTGTATCCCACAGCATACCAGAGCATCCTAGAGGATCCCTGCATCCCACAGCATCCCTGCATCCCACAGGATCCCTGCATCCCAGAGCATCCCACAGCATCCCTGTATCCCACAGCATCCCTGTATCCCCACAGCACCCCTGCATCCCCCCAGTACCCCCCTGGCACAGCACCCCCCTGGCACACATTCCAGTGCCCCCATGTCCCTGCCAGGCTGTCCCTTTGGGGTCCTTGCTCCCTCAGCCCAGCACAGACAGAAAGTGTGGGGGGCCCATCCTGGGGGGGGCATCAACTGGCTGGCACAGGGTGGGGTCAGGAACCCCCCCAGCGCAGGGGGCGGCCGGGCAGGGACCCACCTGGGAGAAGTCGTGGTGGTTGGCAGAGCCCAGGGCCTGGTTGGCCGCCTCCAGCAGCTCCTCCGAGCTCTCCAGGGCCTTGGAACACGCCACGAGCTGGGCCTGGCGTGGGCAGGGGCGCAGGTGGGTGAGGGTGCCCACGGTGGGGAGGGGGGGGACAGGACAGGTGAGGGCAGGGGGCGTGGTGGTGCCCACCTGCAGCTCGTAGGTGCGGCTGGCGCGTTCCTGCTTGATCTTCATCACCATGTCCTCCTTGAGCTCGTCCAGCAGCGAGTACAGCGACTGGAACTCGGCCTCCAGGTCCTCCTGCGCCCGCGCCGAGTTCGTCTGGGCACGACAACCCCCACACACACACACACCGGGGCCTCAGCGGGGGGAACACCCCACCCAAGGGTGCCCAGGGGGCACGGAGGTCCCACCCCACCCAGGGTTGTCCCCCCCCACTCCCCTGGTACCTCCACGTTCTGGATCATCTGCTTGAGGGAGTAGATGAAGTTCTGGATCTCCTCATTCTTCACGGCGAGGGTGGTGATGATTTTCCGCAGAGACTCCTGCCCGGCGCCCTGTGCCCGAGGTCAGCCCCCCTGTGGGCACCCCCGGGCATCCCCCGGACCCCCCCGGGGCGCCTCCCCATCCCCGCCGGGCCTGGCCGTGCCAGGAGCGGGGCCAACCGGGATCTCCGGGCTGGAGGAGCCCCCTCCATCCCCCCTGAGCCCCCTCTGTCCCTCCTTTGCCAACCTCAATCCCTGTATCCCTCCATCCTCTGTCCCTCATCCCTCCATCCCTGTCCCTCCTTCCTCCATCCCTCCCTCCCTCTCTCCTTCCTTCCTTTCCCTCCTTCCTGTCTTCCCTCCTTCCTCCCTCCCTCTTTCCCCATCCCTCCATCCCTGCGGCTTCCGTCCCTCTCCCATCCATCCCTCCATCCCCACTTCCTCCATCTCTCCTTCCTCCATCCCTGCGGCCTCTTCTCCATCCTTCCGGCGCCTCTTCCTTCATCCCTCCTTCTTCATTTCCCTCCCTCCCCACTTCCCTCTGTCCTCCACCCCTCCATCCCCTCTTCCTCCATCCCTTCTTCTTCTTCATCCCTCCCTCCTTCCCGTCTTCCCTCTTTCCCCCATCGCTCCATCCCCTCTTCCTCCATCCTTCCGGCGCCTCTTCCTCCATCCCTCCCTTTCCATTTCCCTCCCTCCCCACTCCCCTCCTTCCTCCCTCCACCTTTCCATCCCTCCCTCCCTCCCTCCTCCCTCCATCCTCCATCCCCCCTCCCCGTCCCGCTCCCCTCTCCATCCCTCCATCCCCTCTCCCTCCATCCCTTCCTCCTCCTCCTCCTCCCCCCTGCCCTGGGGGTGCCCCGCGGTGCCCCCGGCCCGGCCCCACCTGGTCGCCCATACCGGGCCGGCCCCGCCGCCGCTCGGGCCCCGCCGACACCAACAAAGGGGGAGCGGCGCCCCCGCCCCGCCCCCGGCCACGCCCACGCCAGGCCACGCCCCTCGGCCACGCCCAGTTGGATGTGCGGTGTCCGGGCGTGGTTTCTTGGTGGGCGCGGTCTCGCGTGGGTGTGGTCGGGAGGGGGCGTGGCCTCGCGGCGCGATGGGAGTTGTAGTTCTGGGGTATGGGGGGGGGGTCCAACAGGGAAAGGGGGGCAGGGTGGGGGCAGTGTCACAGGGGGTGACAGTGTCCCAGGGGGTGACAGTGTCACAGGGGGCTCAGAGAAGGGACAGCTGCCACCCCCGGCCGTGGCGGGGAGGGACAACACGGGGGGGCTGTGGTGGGTGCAGGAGCCCCCCCCAAAAACCGTGTCTTGCAGCATCTCGGCCCCCTCTCCTTGTCCTCTCCGCCGCCCCCCGTGCCAGCCGGTGTCCCCCTCCCGTGTCCCCAGAGCTGGGCAGCTCGTGGGCACAGGGACAGTGCCAGGACAGGGGGGCAGCAGATCCCGGAGCTCCCCCATTCCTGGGAATCCACCCGGAGCACGGGGGCTGTGCTGGGGGGCACGGGAAGCCACGACCACCCCCGGCGGGGGGGAAGGAAGGTGGGGGGTGGCAGTGCCATCGATCCCCCCCCCCCACAACCATGAGGGTGAGCCCCCACGACTGGGGGTGACCCCGGGCAGGGCCACCCTGTCCTGTGCCCATGGCCGTGGCTGGGGGGGCTCATCCTGACCCTCCCCTTCACCCCGGGGATCCTGGGGTGGGAGCACAGGAACAGGAGCCCACGTGGTGACATCAAGGTGGGACACCGGTGGCAGTGCCAGGACGAGCAGTCCCATGTGGTGGGACACTGGTGGCAGTGCCACCGCTGGCAGTGCCACCACGTCGCCTCCCTCCCACACCCCCCCTTTCCCCCGGGGTCCCTGCAGCGCCGAGAGCGAACAGAGCAGAACGTCCCCGTCCCTGCGCGACAATCACGGGCTTTACTGGGGGGGTCACAGGGGCTGCACGGCCACGGGGTACAGCAGTGCCAGGTGCCGCGCCCCCCGCACCGGCAGGGCCCGCGCCGTGTAGTGTCGCACGGCCGCGGGCACCGAGGGGAAGGCGGCGCCCGCCCGGCCCAGGGTGAAGTGCTGCTCCCGCGTCCTCGTCAGCTTGACGTGCACGAAGCCCTGGCTGCTCCTGGGAGAGAGGGGAAAACGGGAATGAGGGCGGGGAGGGGATAGAGGGGGGACACCAGGCACGGAAAGGGATGGGGATGGGGATGGGGCACAAATAGGGATGGGGATGGGGTTGGGGTGGGGATGGGATAGGGGCAGGGATAGGGATGGGGATTGGGACAGGGATGGGAACAGATACTGGGACAAAGACGATGATTGGGACAGGGATGGGGATTGAGACAGGAATGAAGACTAGAATAGGAATGGGGATTGGGACAGAGGTTGGGACAGGGACTGGGACAAAGATGTGGCTTGGGACAGGGATGTGGACAAAGATAGGGACAGGGATAGGGATGGGGACTGGGGGACACCATCCAAAGCAAGGGATGGGAATGGGGATGGGGACTGGGATGGAGATTGGGACAGGAGTGGGGATAGGGATGGGAACAGGGATGGGGGACACCAACCAGAGCAAGGAATGGGGATGGAGATCGGGAGAGGGATGGGGACAAGGATGGGGATGGGGACAGGGTGGAGATAGGGATGGGAGCAAAGATGGGGACACCACCCAGAGCAGGGGCAGGGGATGGCACCTCCCTGGGCCCCTCCCCCAGGCGAGGGGTCCTGGGTCCATCCCACCTGGCCCCGCGTGTGGGGCTGTGCCAGGACACGGACACGGTGATGGACACGGTGATGGACACGCCAGCACACAGCAGCACACGGGTGGGCTCACCCTGCTCCAGCCCTGCCCCTGCCTGGGCACCCCCCGGGGCTGTCCCCATGTCCCCCCTGGCCCAGCCTCACCGCAGGGACAATGAGTAGTCGTCGGGGCTGGTCTCGCAGTCCCGCACCAGGAAGCTGCCCTCGCGGCACAGCGCCAGCAGCGTCTCCGCACCCGCCCGCCCGATCGGGCCGTGGTACCACCTGAGGGGGGCTGGGCATCACCACGGGGCACCAGGGGTCACCAGGGGTCACCAGGGGCACCCTCTGTGCCATGGGGCACCTCCCACGTCATGGAGCCATCCGTGGCATGGCACCCAACTCCATCAGAGAGCCCAACCCCACCATGGGCCACCCACCCGTGGCGTGGGCACCCAACCCCATTAAAGAGACCAACCCCACCATGGGCCACCCAGCCGTGCCATGGGCACCCAACCCCATCCAAAGGACCCACCCCTGTCGTGGGGCACCCAACCCCACGAGGCCCCACCCGTGACGTGGGGCTCCCTCCACTTCATGGAGACCCCTCCACACCATTATGGGGCCCAACCACGCCATGGGACACCCTCCACCCCACGACCACCCATCCGTGGGGGACCCTCCACCCCACGGAGGTGCCCCCACACCCTGCAGTGTCACCGGGGTGACGATGCCACCCCCTGGAGAGGCCACCCCCCCAACTCACGCCTGCTTCTCCAGGGGCAGCGAGGTGTCCACGTGCCTGGGGCTGGGGGGGCAGCCCGGCCTGGTGCCTGGGGGGGCACGGGGGGGCCGTGGCAGCTGCCGGGACAGGCTGGGGGAGCGCTCGGGGCTCTCAAACTGCACTGCAGGACAAAGGATTGGGGTCATCCCATCCCTGCCCGCTGCTGAGGGGGCACCCCTCAGTGCCACGCCACCAGGGATGGCCCAGGGGTGTCCCCACAGTGGCTTTGCCCTGCCCTGGTGTCCCATTGCCACCAGTGGGCACGGGGGCCAGGAGCGGTCTGGGGGTCCTGGGATGTTGGGGACCCAAGAGAGCGGGGGGACCCCAGGAGTGTGACCCACGGGACCTCTGATGTGCAGGATTGGGGGACCCTGGGCTGTTCCCCATGGGCACTGCAGGATGTTGGAGGACAGGAGTGGCACCCACAGGAGCTGGGGGACCCTGGGGTGGTACCCAAGGGTGCTGGGGGGATATTGAGGGCCAGGAGTGGTACCCATGGGAGCTGTGGGACCCCAGGGTAGTACCCATGGGGACCTCGGGGTATCACCCAGCCCCCCGGGCCGCCGTCACCTGCGAATGCCCGTGAGATGTGATCCTTCTTCCACTCCCAGGGCTGGTCGTACTCGTCGGCCGGGCGCTCGTCATCGCGGGGCAGGCGGCTCTGCCGGCCCGGGGGCACCCCCGGGCCCTCCCCGGCCGCCTCCCACTCCTCGGAGGGGGTGTCGTAGAGCTGCGGTCCCCGCCGGGGCCTCCCCCGCCGACCCTCGCCCTGCCGGGGGCACCCTGGGGAGGGCAGGATGGGGAGGTGGGAGGCACTCCCGGACCCCCCCGGAGGGGTGCTGGGGGTGCCCGGGGTGTCACCCACCTGTGGGCTCGTCCTCGCAGCCGCCCTCGGGCGCCGGGTCCTGCTCCCCCTCGAAGGGCTCCGAGTACTCGCTCTCTCCAGGGCCCTGCGCGGGGGATGTCCCCCCGTGGGTGCCCCCGTGGGTGTCCCTGTGGGTGCCCCGGGTGGGACGGGACCCCCTGTGCCCCCACCCTGCAGGTGCCCGTGCCCTGGGTGCCCTCCCGGGACCCCGCGGGCCCCCCCGAGCCCCGCGCTGGATGTCCTCGGTCCCTTCCCCGCTCCCTCCCACCTGCTCCCTTTGTCCCCCTGACCCTCTCCCTTCCCCTCTCCCAGGGACTCCGCCACCCCCAGGCTCCCCAGTTCGCCTCCCAGTGCCCCCAAGTCCTCCCTGGGTACCCCATTGCCCCCACTCCCCTTTCCCCCGATCCCTTGGCCTCCCCGGTTCTCCATCCCCGCTACCCCTGGTCCTTCCTCGCCGGCCCCCTTCCCCATCTCCCTCCATCCCTCCGTGCCCCCTCCCCGGTGCCCCCTGTCCCCTCTCCCCAGCCCCCTGTTCTCTCCCCGTGCCCCAATCCCACCTCCCGTGTCTCCCCGCGCTGCCCCCACTCCTGTTCCCGGTGTTCCCGGTGCTCCCGGTGCCCCCTTCTCCTCCCCAGCCCCCCTCCGGCTGTCCCACTGCACCCCTGATCCTTCCACCGCCCTCCCCGGTGCCGCCGCTTCCCTCCGACCCCCCGGTCCTCCCCCCGGTGTCCTCTCCGCCGGTGCCCCCGGTCCTACCTGCTCCATCCTGCGGGGCTGCCTCGGCCTCGCGCCCCCACCCGCACCAGGCGGTGCCGTGGGGAGGCTGCGGGGCCGCGGAGGGCGGGGGCTCTGGGACCCCGGTGCCGGTACCGCTGTAGTCGGGCTGTGGCGGGCGGGGGAGCGCCAGGCCCCCGGCCCAGGTACTCCCGGAGCCACTTGGCCATGGCGGGGGAGCGGCAGCGGGACCCCCGGCACCGCCCCGGGACCCCCGGCACCCACCGGCACCCACCGGGACCCCCCCGCTGCCGCCGCCGCCGCCGCCGCCGTCGCCGGAGCCGCTTTGTGTCGCCGCCGCGCTGCGCGGACCGGAGCCCCCGGCCCCCTGAGCCCACCCCCAGCCCCCTGCCTGCCGGGGCACCGGCAAGGGTGGGGTGGGGGAGAGAACACCGGGGGGGACACGAGTGGGACACGCCGGGAGCACCGGGAGGGGACGGGTGATCCCCCACCACCACCACCGAGTGATGGGGGGCAGCGGGACCCCCGAGTGACACCGGGATCCCTGAGCGGCACCGGGACCCCCAGGCGACACCGGGACCCCCAGGTGGCACCGGGAAAGCCCCCCCCCACCGTGTGACAGTGTGAGAAGGGGGGGTCACCGGGACCGCACGGAGCAGCCCCGGGAGGTGATGGGTGACCCCCCCCCCTCACACCGGTGACGAGGGACAGCGGGACCCCCGAGTGACACCGCGGTTCCCAAGTGACATCGAGACCCCCAAGTGACAGCGAGACCCCCGAGTGGCACCGGGAAAGCCCCCCCACGCCGTGTGACAGTGGGAGAAGGGGGGGGGGGTCACAGGGACCTCCACATGGGACCCCCCTCACCGGCCCCTCCGGGCTCCGGGGGCTGCCGGTAAACGGCCCGGGGGGGGCACCGAGCCCGGGGGATTTTGGGGGGCACAGGGAGCCCCCCCAACTGCAGGGCCACCCCCCAGTCCTCCCGGGGAGCTCATCATGTAGGGTACAGGGGGCTCTGCCCCTCCCTCTGCCCCGGGGTTTTGGGGGGGGGGGCTCAGACATCACACTGGGGGGGTGGTGGGAGGTTTGGGACCCACCCCTGGCCATGCCCTGACCTGGCCCCTTGCACTGTCCCCAGAACAAAGGTCCCTCTCGGGGGGTCCCTCCCTGGGGGTCCCACGCGGTGCCAGGGGATGCTGGGAGGAGAGCAGGGCACATCTTGGGGGGGGACACACACACAGGGACCCCCAACTCCTGACCCCCACAAAGCCCAGGGCTGAGCCCAAGGCACGGCATTAATGTTTGAAGAGGCCAATTACAGGGAATGTGCCTGGAATGCTAATTGGGATTGGGGGGAGGGCTGCCTTTCTCCCTGGCCCTCTGTGATGCCCCCCAGCCCCCTCAGTGCCCCCTCTAACCCCCCAGAGCCCTGTGAGAGCAGGTTAATTAGCACTCAGCAATTAGGGGTGGGTGCTTTGATGAGGGGGAGGTTCGTGCCCAGGGTGAGGGGAGCCCCTGGGTGGGTGGGGGTTCCCCAGGGGCAGGACCCACCCCAGCGCCCACGTACAAATCACCCCCTGGAAGATCACGAAGCAACTGGCTCTGACAAATCCAATTTATTCCGGAGTTGTGGCTGCTGGAGCCCGGCAGGGCTGGGAATGGTGGGGAGGGGTCTGTCACCCAGCTCCTGGGGACATCTGGGGGAGGGGGGGCTGGGGTGCAGGATCCGGTCACAAAGGTGGGATCTGAGCCCCCCCAGGAGACAGAAAAGGGGTCCAGGGTCACTCGGAGCAGGGACACCACAGCTCCAGGACTCTGGATTTGGGCTCCAGGGACACAAAAGGGGTGGTGGGTCCTCCTGAGGTGACAGAGGGGTGAGTGCCCACCTTGTCTTCACATCCCAGTGGGAAAGGGGGCTCTGAGGTCCCTTCACTGCTGTGGGAGGGTCAGTGAGACCCCCAAAACAGGGCCTGGGCACCATCAGTGTGTGTGTGGGGGGAGGGCAGTGACACCCCCAGAACGGAGACACCAGAGCCCTGTGCTTCCCAACACGTCCTGGGAGCAGGGCTGGGACACATGCTGGGCCGGCTGGATGCTGGGATCAGGCACAGGGGCTTCCCACAGGATCCCTGCTCCGGGGAAACCTCCCTTCCCACGGGATCAGCTCCTCCCTGTGCTGCTGGGGCTCGGCCCCGCAGCCAGGATTTGGGAACACCAGCGGGCCTGCAATTCCCTGGGCCCCAGGCTGTGCTTCCAGCTCCACGTGGGGCTCCAGGAGCAGCTGCTGCCATCCAGGAGCATCCCCATCCCATGGAGGTGGCTCCTCAATCCTCGCTGTCCTCGCTGTCCGAGTAGGCCCCCAACAAGCTGAGGGAGGACGTGGCGGTGCTTGTCGGGGTGGGAATCGAGCCTGGAAGAGCAGGGACAGAGGGAAGAGCATCAGGGACAGCCCCCTGGAGCCTGGAAGGGGAGGCAGAGAGCAGAGACCAGCAGGGACAGCTCCCTCATGGCAAATCCCCCGTGCTTGGCCTGTCTGGCCTCGTCCCAGAGGCTCCATCAAGGGACTCATCCCAGGCCTGATCCTGACGGGCACTACAGGGATAAATCCCCCCTCAGGGATCCCCCAGAGAGCTGAACCCCCCTCAGGGATCCCCCAGAGAGCTGAAACCCCCTCAGGGATCCCCAGAGAGCTGAAACCCCCTCAGGGATCCCCAGAGAGCTGAAACCCCCTCAGGGATCCCCAGAGAGCTGAAACCCCCTCAGGGATCCCTCAGAGAGCTGAAACCCCCTCAGGGAACCCCAGAGAGCTGAAACCCCCTCAGGGATCCCTCAGAGAGCTGAAACCCCCTCAGGGATCCCACAGAGAGCTGATCCCCCTTCAGGGTTCCCCCAGAGAGCTGAAACCCCCTCAGGGATCCCCCCAAGAGCTGATCTCCCCTCAGGGATCCCCAGAGAGCGGATCTCCCCTCAGGGATCCCTCAGAGAGCTGAAACCCCCTCAGGGATCCCTCAAAGAGCTGCTCAGGATCACCCAGCCCGGCATTAACAAATCCACCCCGACCTTCCCCAAATCCAGGGATCCTCTGGCTCTCCGGGCAGCGAGTGCTGAGGTTGCTGGAAAACCTCCCAGCCCGTTTTCCATTCCCTGGAGCTTCCCAACTCCCCCCAGTTCGCCGGGATTTATCAGCAGGCCCCAAACCAAAGCAGCTCTCCCGCTCTCCCAGCCCCATCCCGTGCCCTGGCAGTCCGTCCCCAAGGCCATGGCTTAGTGCCAGGAGCCTGGAAGGAGCCTCTCCTCCACCGGGAAACCCCTTGGAAACACGGACAGCCCCCTGTTCTCACACCAAGAGAACAGAGTCACTCTGAAAACGGAGTCAAACCCCCCCTGGGAGCTGCCAGAGCCCCCCCTGAGGGCCCAGCCTGGGGCAGGTACCGGTGCCTCGGCTCTCCATCCCGTTTTCCAGGGCTGGATCCGCCTTCTGCTTCCTCAGGGACACCAGCCCAGCCAGCTGGGCCTTGCTGTTGAGTTTGCCCACGCTCCTCTCCCAGCTCTCCGTCTTCAGCTTCTTGCTCTGGGGCTGAGGGTCCTGCAGGGACACAGGGGGGGTTAAGGGGGGAAAGGCCTTGGAGGGGAAAGGGAAAAAAAGGGAAAAACAGCAGCAGGAACAGCAGGAGACACGAGGGAGAGGCCAAGGGGGGAATCCTCCCCCCCTGCAGCACCGGGGACAGGCTGGATAAACAGGGTATGGAGTCAAAACAGGCCTTGGAAATCAATGTCCCACTGTCTGGGATCTGAGCCCAGCTTGTCGTGCAGCCCTGGGGGGGCCCTGGGATGCTGAGGAGGCAAATAAAGGAATCCCAGGCTGGTTTGGGATGGAAGGGACCTCAAAGCTCATCCAGTGCCACCCCCTGCCACGGGCAGGGACACCTCCCACTGTCCCAGGTTGCTCCAACCTGGCCTTGGACACTTCCAGGGATGGGGCAGCCACAGCTGCTCTGGGAAATCCATCCCAGGCCCTCCCCACCCTCACTGCCAGGAATTCCTTCCCAACATCCCACTTACCCCTTCCCTCTTTCAATCTACAACCACTTCCCCCGTGTTTTATCACTCTCTGCCCATGCCAAAGTCGCTCTCCCCCTTTTCCCTCCGCTCCCAGGGGCTGCCCAAGCCCTTCCAGCCAGGCCCTGCTGCCTTGCAGGTGGCCCAGCCCCTGAATCCAACCCCCCCTGGGCATTGGGATTAGTGCTGGGCCAGGGAACACGGCCGGGATTAACCCCGGGCCGGCTTAAAAGCCCCAGCAGCTTTGATTGCTGCAGCAGACACAGGTCCCTGCAGGCAGGGAGCAGCAGGGCAGGGCCCTGGCTCCGGGATAATCCCTCCCTCACAACACGGCCACTCAAAAGCTCTTTTGTTCTGCCTCTTTTCCAAAACACCTCCCGGGGAAGGGGCTGTCATTGCCCCCCACCGAGGGCTGAAATCCCAGCCTGGAGCGGCACCAGGGCACGGCCTGAGCTGGAAGGGAAGGGAAAGGAGGGTGGGGGGGCAGCTCCCTCCCTGCCTTTGTCAGCAGACACGGCCTAAAATCACCCCCTGATCCCTGGCTCCTTCCAGCCCAGTGCACAGGGACACGGCTTTGGGAGCTGCTCATCCGTGACGGCTCCAGGGGCACGGAGAGCAGGGACACAGCAGCTCCAGGACACTGGACTGGGGCTCCAGGACACTGGATTGGGGTCCCAGGGGCACTCAGAACCAGGACAAAACAGCCCCAGGATGCTGGATTTGGGCTCCAGGACACCAGATCTGAGCTCCAAGACATGGGATTTGGGCTCCAGGACAGGGGATTTGGGCTCCAGGACACTGGATTTGGGCTCCAGGACACTGGATTTGGGCTCCAGGACACTGGATTTGGGCTCCAGGACACTGGATTTGGGCCTGAAGACACAGGATTTAGGCTGGATTTGGCCTCCAGAGCAAGGACACAACAGGCACACGCAGCTCCAGGACAATGGATTTGAACTGGATGGGGGCTGGATTTGGGTTCCAGGATGGTGGCTCTGGGCTGGATTTGGGCTCCAGCACCCCAGAGGAGGCTGTGGGAGCAGCTGGGCTGTGTGAGGACCCTCTCCCCCCTCACCTCCTGCAGGATGTCGGTGGGTTTGGTGCCCGCGGGTTTCGGGCGCGGTTTCGCCGCCTCCTCGTCCGAGTCGGAATCCACCAGGAGCCGCCGGCTCTGGGCCTGCTCCAGCATGGACCTGCGGGACAGGGGCCCCACGGGGGGCTGGGGATGGAGCTGCTCCACTGCCACGCTGCAAGGGGGGGGCTGGAGCCCTCCAGCAGCTCAGATCTCACAGGATCAGGGAATGGTTTGGGTTGGAAGGAGCTGAAAGATCCACTTCCACCTTTGGATGCTTCCAGGGATGGGGCATCCTCTGGAAAATCCATCCCAGCTCCTCACCACCCTCACAGCCAGGAATTCCTTCCCAATATCCCATCTAAATTTTCCCTCTTTCACTTTGAAGCCATTCCCTGTGTCCTGTCCCTCCATCCCTTGTCCCCAGTCCCTCTCCAGCTCTCCTGGAGCCCCTTCATGCCCTGGAAGTGGCTCTGAGGTCTCCCTGGAACTTTCTCTCTTCCAGGTGAACCCCCCAGCTCCCCCAGCCTGGCTCCAGCCTTTGGAATCATCTCCAGCTCCCTCCTCCCACATCCCTGCCTGGTGGAGCAGCGACACCCAACCCTCTCCCCCTCCCTGACCACTCTGCCACAAGATACTCCCCCCAAAAACCCCTCCACATCCCACCCACTCCTCTCCCTCAGCTCCTGGGCCTGGCTGATCCCACCCCAAGCCTTCCCAGCCCCACTCACTTCATCTCCTGCTCATCCTCCTCCTGCTCCCTCCTCCTCTGCTCCTCCTCGTACTCCTTGTACTGCTTCAGCATGGCCTCGAAGTCCACGTTGGCCTGGCGCTGGTTGAGCTCCTTCAGCTCCTGCAGGTTCTCCAGAACCTCCATCTCCAGCTTGGAGTCCTTGGTTCTGTTCTCCAGGACCTGAGGGGAGAGGAGATGAGCTGGGATGTGACAGCTGGGAGGGACTCCCCCACCCAGCACCTCCAGGGAGCACCAAGAGGATCCCCCTCATCCTGATTTTTGGGCTGGAGGAGGAGAACGGAAGGACCAACAGCTCCAGGGTCACCTGGTGTGGCTGGGGAAAGTCAGGCAGGGCAGGGGGAGGTTTCCCAGCAGCTCCTGTACCTTCATGGGGTTGTTGAGCTCCTCCTCCTCCCTCTCCTTCTGCAGCCTCTTCTCCTCCTCCTCCAGCAGCTTCTCAGCCTGGAAGTTGCGAGTGGCTCCGTGTTCCATGGTGTAATCCGTGTTCTCGGGGTCTGTCTGAGGGGGAAAACCACGGGAACAGTCACTGTAGGGAGGGAATTCTGCCCCAGCCGCTTCCAGAGCCGCCCATCCCCACATTCCACGAGGGAAACAGCCCATCCATGGGTGGGTGGGATATTCCAGAGGTTCAAACTGCCACAATAAAGGAGGAGACAGCAAAAAAACCCCACAGTCAGGCTCAGGGTTTGCTGGGACACCCCATCCCCATGGGGGCAGGAATGTCATGGAACCATGGAATGGTCCCACAAGGATCATCCAAATCCAACTCCAGGCCCTGCCCAGGACACCCCAACAACCCCCCCTGTCCCTCAGGGCCTTGTCCAAAAGTCCTGGACATGTTCCCCAGGGTTTTGCTTTGTTCTTCTCCACCCCCTCTTTATTTAAGGAGTTGGGGCTCGATTTGTCATCTCCAAACACAGAAACATCCCCAGCAATGATGCAGCAGGATTTCTGTGGAACTCTGGAATATCCTGAGCAGGAAGAGACCCCCAGGGATCATCAGGACACCCCAACAACCCCACCCTGTCCCTCAGAGGATCATCCAACCCCTCCTGCAGCTCTGGCAGCCTTGAGGCCGTGGGGAGCCTGGGCAGTGCCCACCACCCTCTGGGGGGGGAGAATTCCCTGATATCCCACCCAACCCTGCCCTGGCCCAGCTCCAGCTGCTCCCTCAGGCGCTGGGAGCCCAGGGGGACCCCAGGAGGGGTCACCTTGAAGGTGATCTCGGCCAGGCAGCGGGTGCACTTGATGTAGAAGCGGAAGATGGGCAGCCCCAGGTACGACTCGTTCTGCACCGTCTCCTTGCGGGCGTTGAACTTCTTGCCCTTGTAGATGTACTCCCCACATGTCTTGCACCTGGCAGGAGTGACAGGGGAAAGTCCATCCCATGGCAAAAAAAAAAAAAGGATCAAACAGGTCAAACCCCCACGGGATTCCCGGGGGCAGTTTTAGTGATGGTTGTTTTGGGTGAGGGAGGTTTTGGGGCTCCTCGTGAAACAGCCCCAAAATGACAGGGACCTTAAAGCTCACCCAGTGCCACCCCCTGCCGTGGGTAGGGACACCTCCCACTCTCCCATCCTCTTCCAGCCTGGCCTTGGACACTCTCAGGGATGGGGTAGCCACAGGAACATAATTATTAAACTAAAGGAAGGCAGGGATAGATGGATATTGGGAAGGAATTCCTCCCTGTGAGGGTGGGGAGGGACTGGGATGGAATTCCCAGAGCAGCTGTGGCTGCCCCAGCCCTGGGAGTGTCCCAGGCCGGGTTGGAGCACCCTGGGCTGGTGGGAGATGTCCCTGCCCGTGCTTTAAGATCCTTCCCGACCCCCGGCATTCCAACCCCCCCCGTCCCCTCTCACCTCATGTTGAAGGGCGCCATCAGCCTCACCACGTACTGACGGTCCTTGGGGAGTTTGAGCTTCGGGATCTTGGCCGGGTCGAAGTCCGGGGGGTAATATTTCTGTGGGGGGTTAAAGGCAGAGCTCAGGGGGGGCGTGAAGGGCCCTGAGCCCTCCCCAGCTCCGCGCAGCCCCCCGAGACCCTCCGCTGGCCCCGCCCGGCCCCCCAGGCGGGGGATCCCCCCCAAACTCACGTTCAGCACTTTCCGCTCAGACATTTTGGCCGCTGTTTTTGCCGCCGCTGCTCCCGGTGCTGCTCCCGGTGCCGCTCGCCGCTTCCGGGTTTAGCCCCGCCTCCCCGCGCCGCTGATTGGCTCAGCGAGACACCGCCCCTGCGATTCTCGCCTGCTATTGGCTGAACCAGCTGCCCGTCAACGAGCCGCGCCCTCCGCCGCTGTGCAGCCCAGCCCAGAGGCCCCCGGAGCGCCGCGGCCTCAGCGGAGGTTCCGGGGGTGTTGCGGTCCCCTAAAGGTCTTTTTTTTTACACTTAAAACACGCCCTCGGCTGCCGCGTTGCGGCTTTTTTATCGGCGAGGAGATTCCTGGTCAGTGTTAGGGTGGGGAAGGTGGAGTGAGGTGTCCCCGGGCCGTGTCCCGGTGTTGTCCGGGCAGAGCTCTGGGGAGGCTCCTCTGCTCCTTCCCCGTTCTCCTGCTCGGGGGTGTTTTGGTGCCTCTTCCTTAAAACTGAGGATTCCGAGGCCTTCGGATTTTCTAAAAAACAAACTCAACCTCAAGCCTTGTGGGTTTATTCCTGTGCAGGGCCAGGAGTTGCATTGCCGAGTAACCCCTTGATTTTGTGAGATAACCAGCGTCTCCCTATAGCTTTGTTGCCCAAAGGGGGGGACACAAACCCCAAATCCCAAATTTTGGGGGGACGAAACTCCCAAAAATTCCCTTTCCCGCCCCTGCAACAACGCATGCGCAAGGCCGCCATTCCGTACAGCCCCGCCCCGCACTGCGCACGCGCAGCTCTCCTCCCTCAGAGAGCGCCGCCATTACCGCGTGTCCGTACGGCACGCAGCGCTGTAACACCGCCGGCCGCCCACACAGAGCGCGGTCGTTCCCACCCTCCCGTACAGCGCAGAACCCCCGTTACACCGGCGCGGGAGCCGTTCGCCACAAACAGCGGGGGCCGCCGCTCCCGGTGCCACTCTCCCGCCATTGCCGCCCTCACGGGGCCGCCCCCCACCTGTGGCGCAGGCGCGGCTCGGGCGCCCCCTGGCGGGCGGAGGCGCCGCCGCCTCTGCCGCCGTTCCCGGCGTGCCCCGCGCGCGCCACACAAAGGGACGCGCAGGGGGGAAATGGCGGCGGCGACCGCGGCGGCCTCGCAGAGCACCCCCGGCAAAATGGAGCCCCCGGCGGCCCCCGCGGCCTCCGCGGCGCCTCCGCCCGCGCCCAACGGGGCACCCGGCGCGGGGGGGCCGCCCCCTAAGAGGTAGGGAGCGGCGGGAGGGGAGCGGCGGCCTCGCCCGCGCTCGGGCCCGGCCTGAGGGAAGGGGGGAGGCGGAAAGCGGGAAGCGGGCCCGGCGCGGGCGCTGCTGGTTCGCGGCTCCTGAAGGGGATCCAGGCGGTGTTTTATCCTTAAAAGCGCTTCTGGAAGAGCCGCTGCTCAGCGGGCTCGTCCCCGTCGCGCTCAGGAGGAGTTTCCGCCCGCTTTGAGCGGAGTTGGAAGTGGCCGCGAGGGGAACAGGCGGTGCCCGAGGGGGTGCGGGCGGTGTTTAAGTTAATTCCTTTGTGCTCTCCCGCAGTTTCGGGGGTGATTCACCCGTGAGGCGGCTCGGGAGCGAGAATACCTCGAGGGGGAGAGTTTAAGGTGGTGCCGGGAAGGGGTTACACAACCCTCGTGGCGAGAAAACGCTGCGGGAATTTCAACAAAAATTGTAGTTCTGGGGTGAAAAAAACCACCCTCAGTTGCCTCTCAGTTCCTTCTGTTGCTGCTCGAGGAAAATTTCGCTTTAAAAAGCTGTTTTTGAGGCCAAATCCTTGGAATAAAGGCTATTTCTGGCTCCGCGTGGAGGAGAACCAGGAGGTGGAACCTCGTGTGCTCTTTGAGCCCCGTTGCAGATTTCAGGTTGTGGGTTTTGGTTTCGCGTGGAGGAAGATCTGGAAAAATAGGTGTGGAAAAAATATATCGGGGAAAAATAAGAAATTTTTATCCGTTTTGTCAATTTTTGAGGGTTTTTTCCTGTTAAAAAGAGTCAAACTGGGCTTTGGGTGACTGAAATAAAGTTCTGACAAACGTAATTTCGTTTAGATCTGCGCCTTCGGGTGCACCTTTAAGCTGATCCGGGAGCCTAAAATTCAGCATTCCAGGAAATCTCTGCCTCATCCTCGTTGCCTGGAACGTTTTAGAGCAGTTCAAGGCCAGGAATGTAATCCCAGTTTAAGGAGTAACCATAAAAAAAAAGCTTTTACCCCTAAATTTGGTGTTATTTTGGGGGGTTTTGTCTCTTCGGGGATGGAATGGAAGGGATGGGGTTGGAATTTCTGCCCTGGAATTTCAGGTTTTTAAGTTGAGAAAAAGCTCAGCACAGGCAGGTTTTAGGAACTTTTTTTTTATTGTTGCTTGATGTGTCCCCCTGAATTCCTTCTGAAGGTGTTTTTGGGCATCTTCTCACCCAGAGAAAAAGGAGATTAATTGGATTAGTGAAGGGAATTGTGGAAGGTTGAGCCTGAAACATTTAATTTATTAAACCCTCCAACCTGAGGGGCTGGAACTTTTCTTCTTCCCTGGGAGGGTGGGGAGGGGCTGGGATGGAATTCCCAGGGAAGCTGGGGCTGCCCCATCCCTGGAAGTGTCCGAGGTTGGAGAAGGGAAGGATCCAGGGAGACCTTGGAGCTCCTTCCAGGGCCTGAAGGGGCTCCAGGAGAGCTGGAGAGGGACTGGGGACAAGGGATGGAGGGACAGGACATAGGGAATGGCTTCCAAGTGAAAGAGGGGAAATTCAGATGGGATATTGGGAAGGAATTCTCCCTGGGAGGGTGGGAAGGCCCTGGCATGGATTTTTCCAGAGGATCTGGAAGTTTTGAAGGAGTTTTGAAGTCCCTGCCCCTCGGGGAGATGTGCTTTGCCTTCAGCCCCAGGGCAGGGCTGGACCGGGATCATCCTTGAGCTCCTCCCAACCTGAACCATTCCACATTTCCCTTTCATTTTGGGACTGTCCCAACTCCATCCCAGAGGGGATCCATGTGCTCATTCTCCCCCTTTTTCCTTGCAGCGAAGGCGAGAGACCAGCCCAGAACGAGAAGAGGAAGGAGAAGGGCGTGAAGAGGGGCGGGAACCGCTTCGAGCCCTACGCCAACCCCTCCAGGAGGTACCGCGCCTTCATCACCAACATCCCCTTCGACGTCAAGTGGCAGTCCCTGAAGGACCTGGTCAAAGAGAAAGGTAAAGTGCTCCTCAGGTGGCCCCAGGGATGTCTTGTTGCCCTCCTCCCTGTGCCCGACTTCCCGCAGCTCTGGGTGGACCGAGCGGTGATTTAGGGTTTTGGAGGAGGTTCTTCCGCGGCTCTTGCACAACATCCGTCCCTGGCAGCTTTCCAAGGGGACGTTCCCGTGCGGGCATGTTGGCAGTGCAGCTGCTGGGGCATCAGCCCAGGCTTTAGGAGGATTTTCCTTAGGCCTTGCTCAGATTTTTAGCCTCCCTTGGAGCATTTTTTTTTGGTTTTTTTGGGCGTTCCAGGTGGTCCTTTTCCTGCTCTGGCGTGCGGAGGTCCCCGAACTCGGGGTGATTTTGGAGGCTCAGTTCTCAAGGGCCATTCGGGCTCAGTTTAAATGTATTGAAGGGTGACCTGCAAAAAAAAAAAAAGAGCCATCAGGTTTTTTTGTGCTTTGGCATGTGCTGCAGGGCTTTGGGAGGCACTTCCACGTGGGTGGGAGCTGCCTTTGGTGGCCTCAGCACCTTCATCTCTGGAGGAAGATGAGGAGATTGAGCTGAGGGCTCAGGTGGTGACAAGTCTAAATTGTTGTTATGGCTCGAAGCTCAAGCCCAGCTTCCTAGTTCTCAAGTCACCTCGGAAATGAGGGAGAGTGGCAAGAAAATCCTTGGCTTCTCCAACATTTAAAGGTCTCCAAACAAGTTCAGAGCAAGCAGCACTTTCAATCCAGAGTGATGGTGGCGATCAGTGTTCACTTGTGCTTGAACTGGGCAAGGATGGAGAGTTAATGATGTGTTCAAGGTGTGGCCTAATGAAGGGGAAAACAAATTTCTAAAGGGCTCCTAAATGTCTGTCTTTGGAGGCCAAAGGGAACCGAGTGTGTCGGGACTGGAAACCTTGGGAAGCTCCAGGATCAGGGGCTGGCTGAGACCCACCAGTGTGGTTTTCTTTAATGCCAACAACAGCAGCCTCCGAGGCTGCTTGGACAGGCCCTGATTCTGGAGGGTCCCTGCTGCCTCTTGGCTCCAGCAGATCCATCGGTTCTCCGGAGAATCCGGACGTGGAGATGTCTTAATTCCAAGTGCTTTTGTTGAATTCCGTTCCAAGTGTCTTGTGGTTTCTCTCCAGATGGAAAAAAGTCCGGGGTGAGCTTGTTCCCTGCCTTGCTGTTCAGCTGCTCATTCCAGCAGATCCTTCCCTAGGGGCAACGGTGAAGCCTCTTCCTTCTGCCTGCAGGGCTCCAACTGGGAAGCATTTCCTGGTTTTTGGGACTGCCTGCCAACCCCACCGGTTCGGCTTTGCCGTGGAGTTGGGCTCCATTCCAACCTCCCTCAGTCCCAAGAACCAGGAAAGTGCCCTTGGAAAAACCTGACCCGTTGAGTGCCAAGAATTCCAGGCCCAACCGTTCCCAGGCTTGTTTTGTTTTGTTCTGTTGTGTTTTTTTTTCCTTGTTTATTTATTTATTTTTTTTTGGGAGGGGAGCAGGTGAAACTTTTTTTTTGTCCAGCCCTTGGGTGTTTCAGGGCTGCTCCAGCTGGGAGCAGCAGGTTGGAGGTGGGAGGAACTCCAACCTGGTGGTTTGTGGCAGTAAGTATTGGGTTAGGAGACAAACCTGGTGGTGGCCAGGCTGCCAAAGGTGCCATCTCTCACTCTCTCTCTCTTCCTCTCTCTTTCTCTCTCCCAATGCCTTGGATCAGGCATTGCAGGGTATTTGTTGGTGGAACTCAATTACAGGTATGCAGAGGGAATGTTGGTAATGGAACAGCAAACCAAAAAAAAAAAGTGTTCTTGGTTGCAACTCCCCCTTTTTTTATTTTATTTCTGGCTGAACTGAGGTGATCAGGTGGTTGAAGGAATTCTCCATGGAAAAGGAGTCTGATTAGAAAGGTGGTTGGATGTGAATGACATCACATGGGAATGTTTCATGGATGCCACGTCACCAAAACCAGCTGGTGTTCGAATCCCAAGTATTTTAGGAAATAAAAGAGAATTTTGTGGTTTAAAAACCTTCTTCCCTGCCCCAAGGAGAGGGTCTGGCTGTAAGATGAGACAATAGCTGTGCCATCCTGTCTGGATAATTTAATATCCATCATTTTGGTGGTTTTTTGGACAACCAGCCGAGGCCACGCTCGTGCCACCTCCCTGGAAGGGCAGGACACCAAACACCCAGCGAAGAAAAGCAGCTCTTAAACTCCCTGTGCTGCCTTCTCCCCGAATTTCCAGGGATTCTGGGGAGCTTTGTGGCCTCCTGCAGGTGGAACTGGTGCCTCTGTAGGGCAGGCACTGGGAGCACTGGTGTCACTCCAGTGCCAACATCCCTGTGTTCAGTGTCTGGGATTCTGCTCCCAGACCAACATTTTAGGGAGGCAAAGAGTAAGGAATTTCCAAGGGCTGTCCTGTTCCCCCTTCTTCTGTTTTCCTTGGGCTTTTCCCATCTTTCCAAGGAGCTTTTCACTCCTTTTCCATCCAAGAGTCAAAAATCACCCCCCTTTTTCTGGCTCTTCTCGTGCCAAAGGGACATTTCCCTTCCCCATCTCTCAAAGTGCTGACTCTTCCCTGTCTCTACTTTGGGAGGGATGTTTTCCTTCTCCCCTTTTAACCAAAGCTCTGTAAATAAAGCACATAAAAAGTGTGTTTCTCTTCCCCCCCTCTGACATTTTAGGGTTTTCCTGGCAGGAATTTTCAGCTGGAGATGAAGGAGGAGCAGTGGCCAACTCTGCATTTTCTCACGTTGAAGCTTTTTGATCCTCTTCAAAAATACTCTCCTAATTCTTTTCTTCAGACATCCAGACGATTTTAATCATGTTTAGAGCCTTCCTTTCCATATTTAATATTTCCTTTTGGCCCCCTTGGCCAAAGAAAAAAGTGGGATATAAACCATTCCCCACATCTCTGGTTTCTGTGCTTGCTCAGACTTCCCTCTCTGCACCTTTCACACCTCTCAGAGCTTCTTTGGGTTCTCTCAAATCCTTAAATTACCCAACTTTGAAGATTTTGAAGTTGATATTTCATGTCCCAGCTGGTTGTCCTGGTGAATTCCCAGCAAAATCTTCAGGCTCAGGTGAAATCCATCCAAGCCAGGCCTCAGGTCACCCTGGGAACATCCTTTTCTGAGCTTCCTGAACGGTCACTGCCCAAATTTTGGAATTCTGCCAGCCCAGCCTGGCTGGAAAAATCCTCGTTTGCTGTTGCAGATCGACTTTGGGAAGTGGTTGGAAAGTTTAGAAGGGGATAAAAAGCTTAAAAGATCAGAAGTTGAAATGTTTGCCTCTCTGGCTGTGGCAGCAATTCCTGCTCCAGCCTCTCTCTCTCTCGAGGAAAAGTTTGGAAACTCAGCACTTCCAAGTGGGAGGTTTAAGTAAATAAATAAAACACACAGAGCCTGCTCTGCTTCAAGTCTTAAAAGATACCTTAATTATCCTGGCATTGACTTAAATCCAGGATTTTCTGGGAGTTCCTGCTCTTTTCCTTTCAAAAAACTTCCTTTGCCAGCCTCGACCCACCCTCTGCTGGCAGAACCAAATCCTTGCTTGTGTTTTCAGGTGGAAAAAAAAAAAAAAGAGCATTTTTATTGCACTTGTTCTGTCCTCTGGACTTTGGCTTGGATCCTGAGAATTGTGGCACTCCCCTTTCCCTGCTTTTCCTTAAATTGGGCTCTTCAGGAAGTTCAGGTGAGCCTTGGAAGGAAAAAATGCTCCTTCAGATCGGATGTTTAGATTTTAATCCCAGCCTCTCCAAGGTGAAACCCCTGAGCAGCAGAACATCCTGGATTTTCCAAGGGACTCCTGGAATTCTCGTGGCTCCCAGTCAGGGATTGGTTAGAACAGGAGATGTTCCATTGTGTTTGATACAGCCAGGCTTGGCAAACTCCCTTGGGAGTTGTTTGTGTGGATCTGAAGGAAGAACTGCAGGTGAATCCCGGGAATGGCTGAGAGAGAAGAGCTTTCAATCCCAGGGCTCAGGATCCTGGGAGCAAAGTCACAGAATTCCAGCTCGGAGTGGTTTGGTCCTGTAGGTCCCCCCCTGGGAAGAATTTGTTGTCCTAATCCCTAAATTGTGGGATCCATTGGCATCCTTGCTCCCAAGTTTGGTCGGACTTGGCTGCTGCTCTTGATGGCTGGCGACAGAACCCCCGTGGGAATGCTGGGATTCCAACCCTCCCCCTCTGGATCAGCCCAGGAGGGCTTGTTCCCCACCACAGCCCTTGGGATTGGACTGTGTGATCTCATCCTGGATTGTGGAATGGAATTCCTGCCGTTGGGCTGGATATCAGCAAGGATTTAGCTGTGGATTGGAATGGGATGCTCTGGTAGAGCTGCCCCGACCCTTTCAGAGGGACTTTTCAGCCCCTTCCAGCCTCCAACACTATCCCAAAAACACCTCCCTGCTCCCTGGCTGGAATGCTGGCACTGCTAAATCATTCTTGAAAAGAAGAAGTGGAGATGAAAAAAAGAATAAATCAGCGATTTCCCGAAGCATTCCTTTATTTCCCAATTTTAAGAGAAGCCTTCCAGGTTTCTGTTCGTTTTCCATGATTATATTAAATATAGGATATCTAATGTTATTAATATTCTTTATTTAGAGGATAAATTGCTGGCCCTGTGGGAGGTCAGGCTGAACAACTCCCTCTGCCCCTTGGGAGACTCCACTCCTTGCCTGAATTATCCATTAATCCTCCCACTGGCTGGTGGTTTCCCACAAACACAACATCCCACCTTCCAAATAACACAACTTGGGAGTCCTCCTGTGTTAAATTTTACACCCAGGACTTCTAAAACCAGTTATAAAAAGCTAAAAAATAAACCCCCGTGTTTTCACCCACCCTTCTGTGTGCCAGTCCCTTCAAAGGCAGCAGCCACTTGGGTAGTTGGATCCTGCAGGTCCATGTGGAATCAAAAGGCAATCCCAATCCCCTGGGGAAAGGTGCAGCTGGAGTTTTCCAGGGAGTTTTTACCTCTTGCTGTTGACAGGTTTTTTTTTTTTCTGTCCTGAGAGCGAACAGGGCAGAGTTAAAAGTTAATTATTGCAGCTAAAAATGGACTTTAATTAAAAATTGTGAAATAAATAATCCCTTGGTTCAGAGCGAGTCCTTTTGAGGAGTTTTTTCCCCTCAGGATTCAAATCCCTCGTTCACAGCAGACGAGCTGGAACGGTGAGGTGAAGGAAAACTCCTTCCTGCAGCCTTTCCCAAGGGTTTGGATCGCCTCAGGTGGGCACCAAAAATCCACAGGAACCCGAGACTGTGTGGAAAAAAACCCCTCAGGGAGCGGAGGAAGAACCAAGAACACGTTGGGAAGCGCTTGGGAATCCTTTCCTGCATACCTGTAATTGCAGTCTGGAGAAACATGGAGTGTTTCTGGGCTTTTCTTATAAGGCAGAGGCTCCATACCTGGTTGTTGATTGTTCTAAATTCCCATTGTTTTCTTGGCTTTTCTCCCTTGGTATATGTGTCGTCTGGAATCTGATTTGTAGTTGGTGAGGTAACATACGTGGAGCTCTTAATGGACGCTGAAGGAAAGTCAAGGGTAAGTGTTCTGAGAGAATTTCTTCTGTGGATTTTCTACCTGACCCAAAAATAAAAACCAAACACACACACACCATTGTTATCTCCATGTGGTGGTGGTGGTGGTGGCGTGGAAAAGGCAGCCAGGGAGGCGCGGAATGCGGATGTGGAAGCGGCCAGAATTCCAGCAGAGGATTGGGAGGAGGTTGGGGCTGGGTTCTCGGAGGTTTTCCCCGCGGTCAGTTGGCGTTGGCTGTTGGATTTTCCCCTCTTTTTTTCCCCCCCCTTTTTTCCCCCCTCCCTCCCTCCCCCCTGGAGCCCAGTGGCAGGTGGATTATTAGAGAGCGAGCGAGCGGGAATATTTTCTCTCCGTGGCTTGGAAAACTCGAGCGGTTTTGGCTGCATTTGGAAAAGCGGGAAAGTGGTATTAAAACTCCACTGGCTGGGCCAGCAGAGCGAGGTCAAACCCCCCCTCCCCTTCTCGTAGCCCAGAATTCCAGCAGGGAAGGAGAAAGAAAACTGGGAGCGTCCTGAAGGCGATGGATACGTAGGGTTTTTTTGTGTGCAGGTCACATGGAGCGCGTGGTTTTATTTTTCTCGGAGGAGAATTCGGGACTCACAAGTTCGGGCTGAGAGAAATCCCAGATTTTTTTTTTTAAGCCTCTGGCGGGAAATTTTTAGGGATTGGAAGTCTCGGAGGTTTTATTGTGTTGAGGCTCCATTTTTATTCTCACTGGCAGGGCCGAGCTCATGTGGTTTGACTCGGAAAGGAGTAGGTTTTTGGGGGGTGTTTGGGGGGTTTTTGCTGACTTGTGTCTCTGTTTTCTTCCCTCCTCTCCTCCCTGGCCCTGACCTGTGGGATCTGCTCCTCAGGGATGCGCGTAAGTTCATTTTTTGGGGGGGTTTTTCTCCTCATGTTCTCGTATTTTTGGAATTCTCTCCAGAGGTTTTCTGCTTCTCTTCAAATCCCCCCTCCCGAAGTTTTAGTTTACTTATTAAACTCGAGGTTTAGTCCTTCAGATTGAATAGAAAATTGAACCTTGCCCTCAGTTAAATCAGAGTTCTAACTGGAACAGACTGAGCATTGCACCACAAAATCCAAGTAGAAATGGATGATACTGTGGGTAGATAGAATGCAAAAGTTCATTTTTTAAAAAGAAATATATATGTATTTATATATCTTATGCATCCATATATTATGTGCACATGTTCATTTTTTAGAAATAAATTTATGTTCACATTTTGTACATTACATGAATCCATATATTCTAATATGTGCACCAGTTTATTTTCAAGAAGTAAATATTTATATATTCACACTTTCTCTATTATGTTGATCCTTATATTTTAATATGTGCACAAGCTCATTTTTAAGAAATATATATTTTATTTATATTTAAGAAATATATATTTTTCTATTTACGTTATTTATATTGTTTCTATTTTAGTTTTTTATATTATTTAATTATATATTTATATATTTAGAATGTTTGTATTACGTGCATCCATATACTTTAATATGTGCACAAATTCATTTTTTAGAAATAAATATAAGTCTACACTTTATGGATTACATGCATCCCCAAGTTTTACTAAGTGCACAAGTTCATTTTTAAAAACAAAAACGTACATTTATGTGTACACTTTATATATCACATATATTTTAATAAATACACAAGTTCATTTTTAAAAATAAATATATATATATTAACATGCCATATATTATGTGCACAAGTCCACATTTTTACCCATCTGCATTTCCCTCTCTGTGAGGTGAATCCGTATATTTTGGTGAGGTGAATCCATATATTTTGGTGAGGTGAATCCATATATTTTGGTGAGGTGAATCCGTATATTTTGGTGAGGTGAATCCATATATTTTGGTGAGGTGAATCTGTATATTTTGGTGAGGTGAATCCGTATATTTTGATATCCAAACCCCCCTGGGGTGCCGTGTCCCCGCAGGGTGGTGGAGTTCAAGATGGAGGAGAGCATGAAGAAGGCGGCCGAGGTCCTCAACAAGCACAGCCTCGGCGGGAGACCCCTCAAAGTGAAAGAGGTGAGAGCTGCAGCGTGAGGGGGGGGCCTGGATTAGGAATAAGTGACCAAAAGTAGGATTTTACAACTAGAATTCCGAAAAACATCAGTCTGTTTGCTGAGGGTGTGTTTCCCTGCAGGATCCCGACGGGGAGCACGCCAGGAGGGCGATGCAGAAGGTGATGGCAGCAGCTGGAGGGATGGGAATCGGGCCCGGCCCCGGCGGCCCCGGCATGATCAACATCCCACCCAGCATCCTGAACAACCCCAACATTCCCAACGAGATCATCCACGCCCTGCAGGCAGGGAGGTTGGGAAGCACCGTCTTCGTGGCCAATGTAAGTGAAATTGGGAATGCCTGGAGCTGTGGGAACACCGAGGAGGGGCTCGGTCTGCCTCGCTTGGCTCCATCTGTCGTGGTTGTCTCCTTGAGTCTCTGTGCTGAGGAGGGTCTAAATTAGAAATTAAATTACAAAAATTTGGATTTTTGAAGAGAGTAGCAGCTTAATCTGTGTCTTGGTGGTTCCCTGTGCCAAGGAAGTTATGAATTAAGGGACACCTACATGTCACAGTGTCTGTTAATTTGGATTTAGAGTAACAACTTAACCTGTGTCTTGTTGGTTCCCTGTGCTAAGGGAGTTATAAATTCAGCTGTACCTGCATGTCCCAGTGTCTGTCGATTTATATTTTTGAAAGGAGTAACCTAATTGGTGTCTTGCAGATTCCCTGTGCTAAGGGAGGTTATAAATTAAGATGTACTTACATGTCAGAGTGTCTTTTAATTTGATTTTTGAGCAGAGTAGTAACTTAATCTGTGTCTTGTTGATTCTGTGTGCCAAGGAGGTTGTACTTAAATGCCAGCGTCTGTTTATCTGGATTTTTAATCCAAGTAGTCACTTAATCTGTGAGTTACTGGTGCCCTGTGCTGAGGGAGTTGTAAATTAAGCTGTATCCATAGACCAGTGTCTGTTCATCTGAATTTTTGGACAAAACTCTGCCCTTTGCACTCCTCCCATTCCCTCCCCTCCCTGTGAACTCACAGAAGGAAAGCCAAGTGGCTAACTCTGTTTTTTCCCTGGAAATGTCTCCTAATGCCAATTCCCCTGGTTCCCCAGCTGGATTACAAGGTTGGCTGGAAGAAGCTGAAGGAGGTGTTCAGCATGGCCGGGGTGGTGGTCCGGGCTGACATCCTGGAGGACAAGGATGGGAAGAGCCGCGGGATCGGCACCGTCACCTTCGAACAGGCCATCGAGGCCGTGCAGGCCATCTGTATCCTTGGAAACCCTGGGAAATGGGGATAGGGCCCTCAGCAAACACAGCAGGATGGAAATACAGGGGTTGTGGGGCAGCTGAGGGTGTTGCCGTGTCGAGGGAGGTCAAGTCGGAGCGGATGGAAAACCGGAGGAAACCAGGAAATGATTCCGTCTTGAAGGAATTGTCGCTCGGGATCGGCAGCAAAGGGGATTCTCCTTCCCATGTGGAAATGTGTATTAAAATACAACCCTGAGGAAAGGTTTGCCAGGAATTCCTGTGCTGGAGGTAAAGGATGAGTGGACAACAAATCCATGTGCCCACGGATTCGTTCCCATGGGCTTTGGTCCACATTGTCCATTTGTTTGACCCTCCCTTCCCTGTGTCCTTCCACTGCCCAAGCAATGAAACCCTCCAAAACAATCAAATTACAGACATTTCCCTGTGTGTGTCACCTCTCAGCTGATAGTTCTGGCATGGAAAGGAGGGAAATATCCCCCCTTCCCCCTCCCAGAGGTTGTTGGAATGTTAATTCCCTCCTGCATGTGCACCTGGAGCAAGACTTGAACGAGTGATTCACCCTTTAGAAGGTGGGGATTGATTGGAAATGTGGAGAACTTTCCCCTGTTCTCTCCTGTTTTAAATGGATAAAGTTCCTGACTTGTTTGGGGTCCCATTTGGGATGATCTCTTAATAAGCTTCACTTTAGTTTTCAACTCATTTTTTTTAATTGCAGAAAGCCATTTGAACATTCAAATTCAATAGATTTGGGTGTCAAAGTTTTTTTAGGTTTGGAGAATGAAGGATATTGGCTGATCAGGGACCTGTAATTTAAGAAATGTGGTTTTCTGAGGGGGTTTTTGGTTCAGAGTGGAACAAAGATCCTTAACGACCCCTCCCAGCGATGTTCAATGGGCAGCTGCTCTTTGACAGACCCATGCACGTCAAAATGGTGAGTCCATTCCCATTCTTCCTGCTTTTTAAACTGATCATCCCACTCCTGATTTGGGGGGGGGGGGGGAAAGCGTGGTTTGAATCTTGGATCAAAGTAGGGGGGGGAAATGTGTGATTTACCCAATCCCCTGTGATCTTAACTAAAGAATTCTGATTATTTTACTATTTAAAAAATCCGGTGAGGATTGCCTAAACTTTAAATTGCTGTGGTTTAATTTATAACTTTTAAATAACAGGGAAGAATTCCTTGCTCTTCTTGCCCAACTTTTAACGTGCTGGTTTTGTGTTTAGGACGAACGAGCCTTTCCCAAAGGAGATTTCTTCCCTCCAGAGAGACCCCAACAACTCCCTCGTAAGTGTTTCCTGCATGATCCAACATCTCCTGCTTTTTCTTTGCCAACTGGGACCTGATCCCAGCCCCAGTAAAAGACCCTGATTGGAACTGCAAAAACTGGGATCCAAACAACCTCAGCTCCATCAGAGGGGGGAGAGTGAAGAAGAGCTGCTCCCATTATTTTTGGATGCTTCTTCCAGCTCACAACCCGAAGCTTTGTCTTAAAAATCAGTATCCCATTCACCTTCTCAAGGCTTCCAGATCCTGATTTCAAATCCCAGTGCCTTCTAAAACTCCTGTTTGTGGTGGGATTGATTGGAAACATCATCAATCAGGCGGCAGGGAAGAGTCTGCACCTCCTTTGATGTCAATTCTCCCTGACCAACCTTCCAGGCCTTCAAATTACTCAAGGGAGGGGGTCTTACCAGTGGATTTAAGTATGGAAAGGATAAGGAACCTGGCTCTTTTTGGAGGTGCAAGAGGCAGAGACCAGAACACAGGAGACTGGAAATTCAAAAT